TGCAAAACCTGTGAGTGAGAGGCAGGCGGCCTGACTCTCCTCATGCTGCAAGCAGGACGGGATACTCCTACACCGGCGGGTTCTTCTACTATGTTTGCCAGGCGGACATGTAGGACGGAGCAAGGGAGAGGGTGGAGGGATGTTCTTGACGTGCGAGAGGAGAGGAGAGGAGAGGAGAGGAGAGGAGAAGAGGGATAAGAGAGGAGAGAGGATGAGGGGAAAACGCCAAGCTGACTGTAACTGATCAGTACTGATTAAGGCAGGTTTCGTCCGCTCCTTGGCAAGCAGTGGCTGTAACCCGGCCGGTGGCCAGCGGGCGGCTGAAGGTGAACGAGAGGAGAGGAGGAGAGCAAGAGAGAAGGCGCAGGTGTGGAGGGGACTGGTGAAGCTTGCGGCGACTCATCGTAGCCTGAGGGGAAGGGGTCAAGGGCGAGATGCCCTTCCTGCACAACCGGCAGGCGAGAAAGATCACAGTGAGGCTCAAGATCCTGAGGCTGCTGGAATGCCCGATGGAGGGAAGGTATCTGTACGTGAAGCTCAAGTGGGGTCAGAGCGTGTTCGGACCCAAACAAGAAGACAAGACAGAAATCTCCTCGTGCGTGAACCGATCGGTGGAGTGGAGAGATACTTTCCAGTATGAGTTCTCCTTTGACGTGGACCCCGTCGTCATGGTTCAGAGTATGCATGAGTTAGACGACCTGCGCAAGAAGTACGCCTCGACATGTCAGCTACACATGCAAGTGAAGGTCGCCAAGGTGTGGATGGAAGAGACTGTAAGCCGTGAGCTGACGTGCGCTCACCAGGACAATGAGGCTCCCTATTCCCTCGCAAGGACGAGGAAGTACGGTCACGTCGACGTCCACCTCATGGACTGGGCGCTCGCATACGGGAGCGGAAGGAGGTAAGCGTACTGCCGAGGCTTGTGAGCTTGTGAGGGCTTGATAGCGGCATGGTCCGTTACCTGCTGGACGGCACGAAAGCTGTCTCCTTCATGGAAGTAGAGGTGAATGAGCGCTTCAGTCAGCAGGCTCCTCTCAGCCTCCTCGCCCTAGGTCAGCGTCTCCTGGCCCGGAGGAATTCCTGGGATAGAGGACAGGAAGAGTCAACGCGACGCGTCGATCACCAACATCGAGACCTTGTTTGACGACTCGGTGACTTGCTGACCCGAGCTAGCTGATGATCGTGACATCTTGGTGCCTTGCGTGCAGAAGGAAGATCTCATCATTGATCCCGAGGTCAACAAGTTCGTGCTCCTAGAGCCGTAGGGCTTGCTTGACCACCTTGTCATGTCTTGAATATGCGTGCAACAGTGAGGCCTCGGGAGATGATCCGTCGGGATGGAGGTCCTTTACCCGTCACGGATGCGGTTGACATGATTGTGGTTGATCTCAGGGACAAGATGAGCAGAGGAATGTCGAAACCGCAGGACTGGCAGAAAGAGATGTGCAACGATGACAAGGCAAGCAGCATGTCAATCGGTGTTAGCTGATGTAGCCTCAGGTCCGACAAGCTGTGGAGAGCTCAAGGCTTCCGATCGAAACCTTCAGCCAAGAGCTCGAACACTGGGTGAGGGCAAACGTGTGTGATGAGCAATGCCAAGTGACGAGCTACAAGTTTCAGAACCTCCAGCACGAGCACATGAAGTGAAAAAATAGAAAGAGACAAACTTTTAACCATCACTAGGATGTCGCTGTCTTTCAGTTTATTTCGCCGTTATGAACGTTCCGAGAAAATCATCTTTCGCCAGTGCTTCTCAAAGCCGCCTTTCTTATTTCAACTTCGCAAACAACTTTGGAGCAGCCTATCCACACATGAAAGAGTCATCCCCCGCCCCTCTAACTTACAAACAACACAAGGCAAACACTTACACAATGGTCGATGCAATGCCAGAAGTCGAAGTATTGGCCTGTGCAGTGCGCTTGCACCTCGTCCCCTGGCTTTGCCTCAGCAATAATCTTGTTGACCCGTTCTGTGCATGCTTCAAGCTCCTTCAAATATTTCTGACAATGTCCCTTGCAAGACTCCTCAATGGCTGGCCTGCAACAGAATGTGAGCAACAGACCTCTTGATCATGCAAAAGCAAGCATGCTCGACAGCCTTTGGATTCTCGCATGCAATGAGACTATGTTGCTTAGCTAACACATATCCATTGAAATTTCAAATCTCTCCAACTAACATCTTGTTCGGAGCCATGTGAGAATCCGCTGATTCCTTTATAACACGTGTCCGGTGAGGTTTGGAGCCGACATCGTTGCCACAACAACGCTATGAGATTTCAACCAACACATGCACCCAGCATTCGATACGCAGACAGCTGACAGCACTGAGGTCCTCTCATGCACATTGCATTGGGTTCTCAGCACGTCACAGCGGCACATGCATTCGTTGAAATCGTTTGAAAGTCTTGCTCATCAGGAAAAACCTTCAGAGTCCCTCACCATCCATCAACCTCCCGTTACTTAGCCGAGAGTGTTTCTGGATCGCATACACGGCCACATCGTTGCTTCAGAATCAATCCCTTCAACTTCTTGTGTGTAACTTCTTGTGTTAAGTCAACTTCTTGTGTTATCATGCTTGTCTCATCATGTTATCCTCACGCACAGCAAGGCTACATCTCTTCTCTCGCTAACGCTTGTCCATCAAACCACTACACGCTCTGTTCACATGGCTTCTATCATCACTCACATTGACATCGTCTGCTGTTCAAAGCCTCGTCACCTTTGCCTTCTTCCTTCATTTTGATGATACTAGCGTACACCTAACAGCTGTCGGCAGCTCATCATACCCACACCCTTTCCTGTCGCAAGATCCTTTCGTCTCCCATTCCTAAGCGTTTCCTCTCATCATGCATGCACATCATATCCTCTTGCTCGCTCCTCCTCCTCCTCCTCCTCCTTCACCTCCTCCTCCTCCTCTCCATGCTCACCGCGGATCGACGGGGTCACTCATAGCGGCGCTCTCTTCTCGTACCACCCTCCACCCCCACCCCCACTTGTATTTTCACCACCCATCACGACAGACCTCTTCACTGGAGACCCCATCATCCCCCCACATAGCCCTATTCCATACCCTACCCCTTGACCACAAGACACCCTCCATTCATCTCTAAAGGGGGTACACACATCACCGGTGGTGGATCACACCCCCATTCATGACCTAGCTCGTGGGCACAGAGGGAGGGGGTGTTCCGTTTTCTTAGGCATCTCAATAATGGCGTAAAATCAAGTCGAAAACATATGTAAAATACGCCAACTTTTGTTGGCCTTGAAGTCTGAAATTCCTATCAATCACATCGTTTGTTGAACCAGGATCAGATTTTCGAAATTCAACGCCTATTTTTGAAATTTGCAGACTAAGGTTGGATTGTTGTTCCAGACCCCATGATCCGGTACCCCCTTCTATCTCTCACTACCCCATCATTCTACAATTAAACCCCTCGTTCACTAATCTTTAGTACCCCTCCTTGACAGGGTTCTCAGTACCCCTACCTACCATTTACAACTACTACCCCTGTGACAACCACCCCCAACGCGTTAGAACATCTTCCATCTTTCTAGTCTCCATAGAGTACGATGGGGGGTAGGGGTGGTAGCATCGCAGTCGTAGGGAGGTGTAGATGAGGGTGGGGGTGGTGACCCTTGAGGGGTACTTGAACTGGGAGGAAGCAGGGGTACTGGATGGAGTTGAGTGAATGCGCTGCAAGGGTGGGGTTCTCACGGGTTCTTGTGGGGGTACGATGGCAGGTGCGGTATGAGGGCTAGTTGAATGGTCGCTACGTGAGAGCATATGGCGGTGGGTGGCCCATGGCTGAAGGGCTGCAGGAGCAAGGAGAGGAGCCATGGCTACCGGCAGAGAGTCGTCGAAGCCTGGGAGGAGGAGAAGGCTGCCCGAAAGTTTGATGTTTCTCTCGAGGGTGGATTCTTGCCTGACCATTGTGTCCAACGGTATTCTCATGCCTACGACAGCCATGGCTGACCTTGTGACAGCCTGCCGCTAGCATACGAGCCATGGGAACGAATCCTAGATGACCTGCCACACCTCAACCGAACAGGACAGGTGTGACATTTGCTCTTGTTGTCTTCCATCTGCCCCGCGGACTCACCCCCCCCAGTTGTTCCGGTCGATCGAGCGCTTGCGATGCATCGATGTTGATGGTGCGGTTGTGAGTCGACTGAATCCTCTGATCCAGAGTAGACCTAGAAGAAGCGCAGTTGAAGCGAGCATACATCGTCCTGTGCATGCTGCTACACTCATACGTAAACGGACCGACAGGTTGCGTGTGAGGAGGTGAAGTTGTTTGCTCATAGCAGTACAGTATCATGGGAGCGGCTGAGAGAGCATGAGAGTGAAGAGTCGTCCCATGCGGCTCAGGACGCTAACTATGTGCGGCATCCTTCCGTTCCTGCTCAAATCTCGACACCTCTCGTCGACGTCAGCACCAAGTGTAGCGATGGTCCTCATGCTGGTGTGACGGCATGGCAGACTCGGGTTGCCGCCTGTTCTCACCGCTGCGATTGACCTCTGGAACTGGAAGTGATGATGCCCTTGTCTCGCACGTCGCCCGCTGATGCTCCTCAGGTTGAAGCGGAACGAGCAGGGAAGGAGCAGCGTGGAAGCGCTGGAAACGATAAGCTCGATGACAGGTGAAGGGAGGAGGAGGAGGAGGAGGAGAGTGAGCGTGAAGCAATTCAGGCACAAGCACTGAGAGCTTTTTCCATCTCATCCCCTGTGCCATCCAAGCACGTCTGGGCCCGCTGGTTGCCGCCATGTTCTACGCGCCATGCTTCATCCTGTCGCACATCAGCAAAGATGACAAGGGAGGGGAGGAGGCGGCTGGTGTTGCTGTGAGAGAAGCTGGGCAGCTGCTGGAAGACTTGAGGGATGCGCTGCAGGACTGCAAGTCGATGATGAAGCAGGTGGAGGAGGATGGCGAGTTGAGGTTCCTCTGACTCCTCTTGTAGCTCTCCGAGCTCGTGCATGCCGACGTCTTCTTCCACGTGTACCGCCCTCTCCTCACAGGGCACGTCTCTCCTTCCCCGCGCTCCTCTCATCCCTCGCTGCAGCTTCTGGCCAGACGGAGTGCTCCTGAAGACCAGCGAGGAAGGAGAGGAAGGGACTGGAGATGATGAAGGAGTCTGGTCAAGGGCGAAAGGTCCAAGTGCTGGGCAAGTATGGAGGAGGAGGGGAGGGAGAAGGAGGAGAAGCTGAACGGGGACGATAGAGTGCAGTTTTCATCATGATCGATCTCTTTCTCGGTGTGCGACATGAGGTCTTGATGAGCGATTTTCAGGTCCTTGCTCCTTCCTCTTTCCCTCTCTGCTCCTCCCCTCCCCTCCCTCTCCTCTCTCGCTCCCGCACCGCTTGCTCCTCCTCTCCTCCATTCTCCGCCCTGTGGGGGCTCTGACTTGTCAACTAGCGGGAGGTGGTGGAGGAGTATCTCCCTCGCAAGCATCGAGAGTTTGTGAGCATGCGGACGTGGCAGCGTGAGAGTGACGAGGCAGCAGATGAAGAAGTTCGAGGAGGAGGTGAAGGTGCATGGAGGGATCAGACAGGCAGCTGAGCGAGCCAAGACCCGCCTGCTCCCTCACGCTCAGGACCTCAGCGATCGTTATAATGATTGCGTGCGTTCGTTGCAAGGTGGGAAGAGAACAAAAGCGAACGAGGAGGAGGAAAGGGAAAGAGGAAGGGATCTAGGGAGGAGAGGACGTCAGAAAAAATGTGTGTTGAGGGGTGAGGGGAGGGGAGGGAAGGTGGGGAGGGGAGGGGAGGGGAGGGGGGTGGTTTATACGGAATGAGCTCCTGCCTCGCAGCTTTCCGTCGCGTTCATCTCAGCTTCGCCTCCTCCTACCTACAGGCGACAGCGACAGGGACAGGTGAGAGAGCGCTGAGCCTGTTGGACTGTGACGCCATGCCAGGAGCAACTGAGTTTCAAGTGCTGCTACGAGAGGCGATAGTGGCAACTAGCACAGAGCAAGGAGGAGGAGGAGGAGGAGGAGGAGGAGGATGATGATCAGGATAATGATGATGATGATGATGATGAGGATGAGGAGGAGAATAGCATTACTTGACTAATTGTACATACTCCACACACTCTACATTTTCTAACAAGGTCATCCGAGGATGTTAAACGCGACTTCCTTTCCAATCATCGAAGTCCTGAAAAGAAAATGAGAGGGAGGGAGAGAAAGGGGAGGGGAGGGGGAGGTATGATCAAAGGGAGGATGGATGGATGGAGCAACGTTTACCTCTACGATGGATCGCATGAGAGAAAGGCTGAGGGGTTTCGAGAAATGTCTATCCATGCCTGCATGAACATCAGTATGAAGATCGCAAGATAGAACAGGGCAAAGGGGGAGGAGAGAGGAAGAGGAGAGGAGGGATTAGAGCTGCGGCAGGAGATAGCAGACCTGCTTGCATACATTCCTCGACATGCGCTGGGCTGGTGTGAGCAGTGACAGCTATGATGCAGATCTTCTTTCGATCCTTCTGCCATGGACGTGAGGAGAGGAGGAGGGGGAGGAGGAGGAGGAGGAGGAGGAGGAGGACACAGCGAGGGGGGGGGGGTTGAGGGAGAAATGGCGGAAGCAGCATACCTCCTTCTCCCACTCGCGGATCTTGCGAGAGGCCTCAAGTCCATCCATGATGGGCATCTGAATGTCCATGAGGATGAGGTCGTAGCTTCCAGACGATGCGGCTGCGACTCCTTCCTCTCCGTTGTTGGCGATGTCAACCGCAACCTTATCCTTGCCTGCTCACCAGTCAACCCTCCTCCTCCTCCACCTCCTCCTCCTCCTCCTCCTCCTCCTCCTCCTGCGGCCTCCTTCCCTCCCTCCCTCCCTCCCTCCCTTCTCCTCAGTCTCTCATGCTCACCGAAGACGCGCTGGAGGAGGGCTACTGCGACCTTCTGGTTGGCGATTTGATCCTCCACCACGAGGATGCGCATGCGATTATCCTGCTTGGCCATGAGCCTTTGAAGCCTCGCAGCGTCTCCTCCTCTCACCTCCTCCGCCTCCTTCTTCACCGCCTCCTCCAGGGCCGGGACGTTCCCGCTGCTCACCGTCTCCTTGGCTACCTTGGCAGCGTAAGGAAAGGAGGGAAGGGCAGGAGACTTCTTCTCCTCCTGTTGGCGGCAGTCAGACAAGCGCAAGACATCGACCGCCTCCTCTCGACCGTGAAGGAGGAGAAGATCTTAGAGAAGAGCACCGACGGCTTGATGGGGAGGGGGATGACGTTGGAGGCTTCGTCGTGTCGCTTCTTCTTGAGCAGGCAGAGCTGGGACGTCATCCCCCCCAAGATCAAGAAGCTCTTCAAGCAGCTCAGCTCCGTCGCCATCGCGCTCAGTTGCTCGTACACCAGCATGTCCACCACCACACAGAACGGCCGATCCCCCTGAGCCTTCACTGCCGCCTGCAGCTTCACCAGCAGCTGCTTGCTGACCGGCCCCTTGTCCTGCCGCAGGTCCACCACCCTCACCTTCCTCTCTTTGCACAGCCTCATGATGAGCGCTGAGCTCGGTCCTTTCCTCGTCGCCAGGATGACGGTCCCCTCCTGCAGGCCTGGGATTTCTAGGGTGGAGTTGACCCCTACGGGTTGACGAGTGAAGTGAAGAGGAACAGTGATGCAGAAGACTGTTCCCGTGCCTCCTGCCGCTGCTCCTCCTCTGCTCTTCGCGGCTTCTGCTCCTCTGCTCTGGCAGGAGATGCTGCCGTGCATGGAGTCGACGAGCTTCTTGGTGATGGCGAGGCCCAGCCCCGTCCCCTGATGCAGTCGCGTGTACTGCGAGGAAACCTGCAGGCTGGTCAGCAGGGACGAGGAGGAGGAAGCAAGAACAGACGATGATGAGGAAAGAGAAGAAACAGAGGGGGGAGTGAGGGAGAAGGAGGACAGAGGAGGAGGAGGGAGCAGGGACCTGAGAGAAAGGTTTGAAGAGGAGGTTGAGCTTGTCCTCTGGGATTCCGATGCCGTTGTCCTCCACCTCGACGTGCAGCAGGCACACGGACGAGGCCTCGTCCAAGTCTGAGAGCCTCATGCGTAGAGTCACTTCTCCTCCCTGCTCCGGCGAAAACTTCATGGCTGAACAGCTGTCAGTCAGATGGTAGACGACGAGGAGAAACGACAGGAGATGGGGGGGAGGGGAGGAGGAGGAGGAGGAGGAGGAGGAGGAGGAGCAGGAGGAAGCACCATTGTCGCAGAGGTTCATGGCACATTGACGGATGTGGAAGGCATCGCCATAGAGAAAGAGCTCCGCGTCTGCCTCAGAGACTTGGATGTCGACGGCGAAGTCAAGGTCTGACTTGATGCAGGAGGCGATGAGGTCGGAGAGATCCTCGCCAAGCTTGAGGAGGGAGAACTCCTCCATGAGCTCGCTGCCCTCCTTCTCTTCTCCTCCCTTGCCCTCCTTCTCGTTGTCCTCCTTCGCTTCCAACTTGGGGTAGTCCAGCACCTGCTCAGGTCCTTCAGGAAACTTGAGGAGTAGGAGCAGACACGGACTAGAACGGGGAGGGGGGGGGGGGGGATGAAACAGGACGAAAGAAAGAGCAGGGATCGGAGGAGATGGTGATGGAGCAGCAGGGGCGTAGAAAAAAGGAGGAAGGGAGGAGGAAGAAAGCAAGGGAGGAGGAAGACCTGATTGATGACGGTTAGCAGAGCGTCCGCGGACGTCAAGGAGGAACGAACGTAATCCTTGTGTGCGGCGCTGTTTGTGGTCTCACATCGCGAGAGGGCAGCATAAAGCTCACCTCAGGTCCTCCGACTCCAGCAGGAGCGAGTTGAAGGCGACGACCGAGTTGAGGGGGGTGCGAAGCTCGTGGCTGATGTTGGCAAGGAAATGACGAGACAGGCGAGATGAAGTCTCCGCCTCTAGCATCGCCGTCTGTACACACACAATCAACCCCCTGCCCCCTTCTCCTCCTTGTCTCCCTCCCACCTGCAGCGCCTGGTTCATCAGCTCGGTGCGGATCACGTTCTTATGCTTCGTCTCTTTTTCAGCTTGCAGCTGGGCGATCCTGACCTCGGCGACAGTGTCGAGGATGCAGAAGTTTCCGGTGAGGAGCGTGACGGTGTAGACCGACTTGGTGAGGATATCAACGAAGGTCTGCGCTATGTCATACTGGAAGGTTGAGATGAAACCTTGAGTTGAGAGGTCAGACGTCCCACGTGACCAGTACCAGTCTCACCTCCATAGTGCAGCAGGTGAACGACGGGGAACACGGACCACAGCAAGAAGGTGCTGATCTCCAACGACCTCAACGACGCGATCTCGTACGTTGTCGCAGCTCTAGCAACGCTGACGGAGCATGTCATCAACGAAGTCAGCACGTCCATTCTTGTCACACCTTGAGTTGGTGAAGGCGTGAACACCCCGGAGAACGTCGAGGAAGAAACAGCAAGACAGGAAGCAAGCGACACAACCAATCATGCTGTTACCAACGACGGCATGAACGAGCCCTGGAAGACATGTTCATGTCAGGACTTGATCATGGAAGCACGAGCTGTCAGATGCCACCTGTGAGGATCATCAACTCATCGGATATCAGGACGCGGAAGAGCGACGAGAAGGAGATGACGAGCTCCTTTTCCATGGACGACCCGAGAGCATGCAAGACAAACAGCATGCAGGGAGTTGTGTTCATCCATTGGAAGTAGCGCTCGATGAACATCTGCCGCCCCTCAAGGTCGTGGAGGACCGGCAGCACGCCCGTGACGTAACTCAGGTAAACCGTGCAAGCAACGAGGTTGATGAAGAGGACGAGGCTGTTGAGAGTCCTCTTCTTGGCGGAGATCTGAAACAGCATACCAGACAGATCCATGAGGATACAAATGCTGAAAAGAAACACCGCCAGGATCTTGACGAACATTGTCTTCTTCATGGTGTAGTACTCGCTCTCATCCGTTTGCACGTTGGCACACGCGGACGAGTATGATCTCAGGGCATACACGAAGACTACATAGACCATCAGCCAGAGGGCGAACAGAAACAGCCCCGGCACATCGTTCATAGTCGCTCGAATCATGAATTTCTGGTCAACTTGTGTCGCCTGCTTGAGTGAAGGCAGCTTGAAGCTCTGCGAGAAGTGCCTGCTCTGCCGGAAGAAAGCAGGAACGCGCTGATGATCCTCTTGTTGGTTCAGGGGAGCTTCGCTTCTAGACTCGTGTGGAGGGCTCAACGGGCGAAGAGGCTCAGGTAGACCCTCGTCCATGCGACTATCGCAAGAGGGTCTCTTGTCCAAGAACTCGGCATCTGCATAGCCCTCGACCTGAAGGTTTTCAAACACCTGCTGCTCTCTCCGCTCCTTTTCCATTTGTGAGTCATGACTGAAACTGCACGTAGACGGCATGGGGGACAATTCCATGAAGCGCCTTGGGGGCAACCGGGGTAAACCAAGGATCGGGACAAAGAGAGGAAGCAGGGAGAACGAAGACAGGAGAGATGGAGGAGGAGGAACGAGGAGGAGGAGGAAGAGAGAAGAAGGCAACAACAAGGGACGAGGAGGATTGAGAAGGAGATTTGGCAGGCGTGGGGGAATCTGAAGGTCGGAGGGGTGGTCTTAATATGAGACCTTACCTTCTTCAACACCCCTATGTTTGCCTTTCGAAGTAGGGGTACTTTTTCGTATCGTGCCAACGACGTGACCGGACCAACACCAACCTAGTACTGGGCATGTAGGGGTCCTATGTATAGTAAATTGGGGGGTAGTGAAAACCTTGGTATCTCTTTAAGGCCAGCATGGGAAGCGACGCAGACTACCAGCAAGTATGACTACCAGCGACCACCCACCCTCGTGATGACCCACCCCACCTAAACCTAAAAGATTATTTGACCCTACCCCTGTAATATAGTGCATTTACCTCTCCATGTACCCCCTATTATATCCATCCGAGGTCTCGTAAAATTCAACCCTTTCAAAGTACCCCACCCCCAATCCTCAAAACGTTCCCCTGGTTTCCCACCCATCCGCATCTCCTTTCAAAATCGAGTCTTTTCGATACAATCAGACTTCTTGCCTGTTAAACCCTTGAGTCAAGCACCACCCCCCTACCCAACCGAACGACCACCAGGACCCCACCCTGCCATCCAAGGGTGCTCCCTCCGAATATATCAGTCTGATATAGCTAATATCAGTCTGCCATTGCAGTACGTACCCTACCCCTTTCGCCCCTTTGAGAACCCCCTGTACACCCCCAAGTTGAAGGTGTTCTTGCGTCCCTTCGAGGCTCAAGAATCTTCTTCTTACTACAATGAAAACACGCAACGCTTCTCACCGACTGCCAAAATATCTGACGCCTGAGATCTGAAAAGAAGTGTTTTAACATCTACAATGATATAAATCGAATGTTTTTATCCCCATCCCGAGATCTTTTTTTTAACTTTCTTTTTTTTCTTTTTTTTATCTGGACCGACGGCGAAGGAGTTGACATCAAGGAAGAGCAGCAGGGAAGTGAAGCAGAAGAAGAACACGCATGGCTCGTGAAGATAGATCATGTGATGTCGTTGTCAGTGTGAGGAGCAGGAGCAGGAGCAGGAGCAGGAGCAGGAGCAGGAGCAGGAGCAGGAGCAGGAGCAGAGTTTAAGGCCAAAGCACGAGTATGGCGACGAGGTGGACTTGGGCTACACTAATAGGACTGAAGACTAGAATAAGAATTTTGCTTAGGGTTGAAAGCAGAGGAAACAGGACGAATATACAAGACGAGCGATGATGGAAGCAGCAATGAAGAGCGGAGGGTGTTGCACGCAGAACGAAGGTTGATGACGATGCGAGTTGGTAAAGGAGGACAAGGGGAGCGGGGGGGAGAGAGGTCAGAAGATACAAGTCTCTGTCTTGAGGCGCATGGCCTGCATATGTGCCGGACACTGATCACACGAGTTCTCGTTCAAGTACCCGCTACCCTGTGCTGGATCGGATCGGACAGACGTGGGACAGGTAGGAGCTGAAGACATACGTTGCCAAGGGGCTGGGGGTGGCTCAAGTGTTGGAGCAGGATGCATAGAGCATCGGATCAAGATCGATAGTGACAAATTGCAGATTTAGATGTGTCGATTGCAAGAGAGAGCAAATAGAGGCTGAGAAGAATTTTCTACATTGTTTGTTGACAAGATCAAGATTGCTGTTGGAGGAGCGAGGGATGTACAAGGGAGGACAAGAGGTCCAACAGCTTTCACAGTGGTGAATCATAAAGGTATGCCATTACAAGGGAGGTGAAGGCAGGCGCATGAGGGAAAGCAAGTTAGTCGTAACAGTGTTTGAGAGTCTAGTAGTGAAACAAGTATAGAACAGCTCAGTAGAATAAGTTAAGCAGGGCAGGTTTCTACTGCTTGCTAGCACATGTCAATCCCTTCCTCAAGCACGTTTGTCGGCGATTCAAGATCTGAATATAGCACCGAGGAGTGATGTAGAACATGTTAGCCTCAGAACGAAAGGATGCTGAGGTAAAGACCGTAGCGAAAGATGCTGAGGTATGACTCGAGTTTACCTCAAGCATCTTTTCGTTCTGAGGCTAACATGTCCTATATCACTCCTTCTGCATGATAATATGTCTTGCATGATAATAAACAAACAGATGCGCATGACCTCTTGATTCGATGTAGTCGCACCAAGTCGACGACTTTACGTGCCCACAAAATCTGTGATGTCGGTGTGGTGGTCAAGGAATGTTGTGGTCAAATGTTTAGGTATGAAAGCACCTGTGCCCTGCTTATCTTAGTCTGTAACTTTAGAACACACCTCGACCACGACCGATCAAGACTTTGACTCTGTTGACGTTGAAGAATCACACGGTTGAAACCATTCCATCAACATTTCAGCACCGATTGAAACAAAAACAGGTAAAAATCTTTCCCTTGCAAGTTGCTAGTTTACACGAGCTCCATATTGAGACATTACCACTTCCACAAATCTTCACCCTCATATTTTCATCTCTTCACTCTCGTCATATTTTCATCTCTTCACTCTCGCTCTACTTTGCCTGGCCTCAAACTCTTGGATTCTTTCGCACGAACCGATCGACCTCCTTGAGCACTCGTCGAGTGGACCTGTCGCTCCTTCACTCTCCTCTCCTTCATCATCAACAGCACCTGGCGATCGGGCTGGTTGCAGCCTGTGGCGACTTGGAAAGTCCTAGAGGAGTTGCTGCTTTCCGTCGTTCTGCGAGCTCTTGACAAGCAGCACACGCAGCGCATCTCCCTTACCTTCTCCTCCTCCTCCTCCTCCTCCTCCTCTCCCGGGTGGCTCCCTGGCTGTCTTGATCCTCCGCGTTGGGGACACAGCGGCCGAGAAGCTGCCGACGAGACGAGCATCGATGTCGCTGACGGAGGACTGGCAGGAGGGTGTAGGGGTCAGTCACCCTGCGGCAGGAGATGGCAGGCCCTCACGTAGCGCTTCTCTCCTCCTCCCGCGTTCCTCCCGCCGCTTCCTCTTGATTTCACAGGCGTCGATGGGATGGCGCGGGTGCCCGTGGCCACGGGGCTGCTGGCAGCGGGACTAGCAAGGAGGTCGAAGAAGTTGATCCTTCGCATCGGGGACGAACTCGTGGACGGGCGGTGAGGAACTGCCCATCGGGGAGGCTCCTTCCTCTCCTCAGCATGCACGAAGTTGTCGTCCTCCTTGCTCTCCTCCTCAGTATCTGCAGCTGCTGCCACCACTGGTTCACTTTGCCCTCTGAGAGGAAAACAGCGGAGGAGAGACGAGGACTGGCTCTTGACCTTGGAGCTGTCTGACAGAAAGGTGTAAGAGGGAGAAGCAACACAGAGAAAGTATACTTGCAGTCATGTTTGCCGCCACCTGCTTCGATTCCACATGAGCCTTCTTCACCTAGTAGAACGTAAGGGCAACGGAGATTTCCAATTCGGAGAACAACTTGCTCCTCGTAGACGGACTTGCCCATCTTGCCTTGCCGCATTCTCCTCACCATCTTTCTCACCCTCTCATGCTCACTCGGCATCGGCACGGACCAGTTAGGTCGCACGTGGAAATCGTTGGAGGTCCAATCACTTTCTTCCATGAAGGCAGGAAGCATCTGCAACGACAGAGTTGAGGAATGCCCGTGGGCACTAGCACGAGGAGAATCGCAAGGCGTTCTTACGCTGGGAGTGCTTGACTTTGCTGGGGAATGATGCATCCCGTCCCTCTTCTCTTGCGCCGTCTCATACAACCGATCGTTAGTTATCCGCTCCAGCTCTCTTATCCTTGACAGCGACAACCTTGCACACGTGCTCAAGTTGTGCTCTGTGCGAGGAGAGCATCCTGTTGCGGTTCTCTGGACATGATCGTACTCTTGACGGGCAAGCCTGAGCTCATTCATCGCTCTCTCAACGTCATTGTACCTCAGCGACATCTCAGCTTCTTGAATCGCATCGTCACCTCGTTGCAAGACATCTTGCACAGCCGCTCGAAAGTTGAAGTCCTTGAAGGAGCTCACGACTTGCTCCGTCCTCTTCTTCCTCCTTGAGAATTTGTCGCCTCCTCCCATCCTCGAGCTACTCTTCACACAAGTTCACAACAACCCGGCACTCTCACAGCATGTCTCTGCCGCCGTTGGAGCCGCCAACTTGCTGTCCGTGATGGATCAGAGCAAATGCAGCTGACATCAAGACTGGGTTCTTCATCGTCATCTTTTCATCGCCTCTTCTCTTCTCTTCTCCTTCCTCCGCCTCCCACAACTTCTCACTCTTGTCAAAATGTGACAGGGGCAGGAGTACGGTACCCTCCTCATCATTCCACAGGCAGAAGGAGGGGGTAGTATGTGGGAGATAATGGGGTAGGGGTCGTGAAGTGATCTTCGGACCGGTGGGGGCAGCAACACGTCGAAGGAATGAAATGAAGGACAGGTCAGCTGGTTAAGATGCTACCAACAGTCGCACGTGTCATGCGCCATCTGATTACTTGCCTCAGTCACCATGAGGGCAAGGATAATGCCAACAACTTGTATCTTTCACACCATGTTACAATCCTTAGCACTCACACAAGGATCAAGATCAATTGGATCATATCAGATCGACAATCTGTCATCACAATGGAAGCCAACGCGGTCGCTAGCTCTCAGCTACCATCCCTTCCATATCATACAAACCCTGTAAGAAGCACGATCATTATCACTCGACGGAAGCACTCAGATGCATCTTCACCTGTACCCAGTCATCGTCAACGACGTCGGGGACCGGGCGACATTCTTCATGGCTATAATACAGGTGAGAGGAATCACCGTCGATCAGATTGGGATCGTTCCATTCCTGCGAGGAGGAAGCGAGTCAAAGGAAGACGAGAGGACAGGGCACGACAACAGACTGACGGCCAGTCACCTGTGACGGAATGAAAGGAGCGGTCTCCGCAAGGTCGTTCGCATGATCGAAGTCAGCAGGAGAGTCGTCTGCTGTCGCGTGACCACATGGTATGCTAACAACAACTCTCACATTGAGTCTCCAGCGGCCCAGTCATGTCGACGCTCATATTGATCGGAACCTGCCGCACAAGTTTGTTTCCGCCAGCCAGCCTCCCCTCCCGTCGCTCACGCTCAGGACGTCCGCGTGCGTAAGCTGCTTTGGGGTGACACTCAAAATCCCAGCCTGACTTGCGTGATTGGCATGAATATCGTGCTTCCCCAGACGAGTATCTTGAATGGGAGCATACAGGGACTCCAATCCACCAGCCTGTGCTCCAACGTCAACTCTCCGCTCATCGCCATGCCAGGCTCCCATCTTTCAGGGTTCACCTGATTTTGCACTCCCAAGATAGCTCCCGACTGTTTGCCATGAAGGCTGGGAGAGGCGCTTGCTGCGGCGCTGCATCAGACTATGGAAACAGCAAGTAACAATCAGCATCAGCACCATGAATGATGGCCTGCTTTTCTGCCTGTTGTCTCGCCAGCTCTTGCTGCATTTGAATGTTTCGGTTGACATGCTGCCTCAACCTTTCTCGTGCCGAGAGAGGTTGCGATTGGCTCTCCGACATGTCGATTGTCTTTATCTGAGATCCGGTCCCGATGCTCTGAGCTGCTGTCTGAATGCTTGACGCAAATCCAGGCCCATCAGCACCAGGTGGCATGACGATTCCTTCACCACGCAGAATGCAACATGCCCAGCAGATCCAGTCACAGAAATCAATCAGTTTCAAGCTTCAGCAGAGGTCTTGGGCAGAGGCAACTCTCTATAGCCTAAAGAGACGAAAGCGGCGGCAAAGGGGCAGGGCTTTGACGATATAATCAGGTCAATGCTCTGCACCTTTTTACGCCTGACAACTTATGTTTCACAGACTCTTGATGAGCCTCACAAATGTAAAATCGTGTCTGCATATAATCTGCCCAATCCAGCCCCAACGTACCCTTTCTTTCATCCTATTCGATCAGTGCACGCGACTATGTACCTAACACAATCACACAAGTGCATACATACCGAAGTCCTTTGAAACTCGATGCAGTTTCTCCTGTGCAGATTTTGCGCAAGAAAATAGACAGCAACAGTTGTAAGTTAATCTCTGCCGTGACACTAGCACAAGTTACCTGCCAGGGTCAAGGCCATACAACCGCTGCTTCACTCATAACAGGAAGGAGCCCCGCTCCCCTTCCCCGCCTTATCAAATAAAGAGTGAGAGAAGAAAGCGATAGAATTGTGACAACAATGAATGACTATAGAAGACAAAGGGAAATCGTTTTTCATGGTTCTTCCTGACCACTAAAACTCCCACTGAAACCCCGGCCCAGGTTTGTGCTCCATTACAACCAAACCCTTTGATATACATGCTTCAATATCTCCATTTGCTATGGCCGATCTTTTCACTGGCTAATAAAACACATCTGGATGGACTAATGCAATCCAGAACCGCTTCGCATCTCGCCATGACATCAAACCACTTGAATCGAGTTTCGAGATTTTGTTTTCGTGTTTCCTATCCCCGTCCATATCAGCTTGTTCATCCAAGTGAAGAATGAAACTCGAAGTTTTCATCTGCATTTTCATCTCGTTACCAATAGAAGCTATCTCTATCTCCCCCTGACATCACCACTGCCTTCATACATGCCCAATCGAACCTCCTGCTCCCCCCATTCCATCGACCTACCCGCCGACAGATCCCTAATAATATCAAATCCGGCCGGGGTGGAATTGTGTACACTAGCAGTGGGTGGACCCACAGTAATTTCTAATAATTAACAATATTAAGTAACAATATAGATCAAATTAGTACCATTCTATATCGGGAAAACACAAGTTGGCGGGGATAAGGTGTTATTTTGTGAAGTATTGAGAACCTTTATCCACCCCCACCGAAAATATCCAGCACCGACCGAGGAACCCAAAATAGGAACAAATCTCCAAAAGAAGCTGAAATCGTTTTTTTTCCTACTCAATCATTTCGTTGACCACCCCTTCGCGCACCCTGCCCCCTTTGGTGTCACGTTTGAAATTCACCCCATAAAATCCCCTTATTTACACCCGTGGTCAACCACCCCTACCCAATCCCAGAACCTTCTTTTCTTTCGTTCCTTCCTTTTTGGTCTACCCTCGACATCACTACCCACCCACCATATTTTCCCACCCCTCGCTTTACTATCGTCAGCCCAGGTATGGCAGTACTACCCACCCCTTCCTCCCCTCCAACAAGATGCACCCCCTACCCGAAAAACTTCTCCCCCTCCCCCGTGACCCCAGAAAGTACCTCTGACAGTACCCCCTCCTCCCCCACCCCCCACGTATCTGTTCATCACCCACCCTCGCGTTACTCGGCCCCCGAAATTCATCTTGACAGTATCAAAGACGGGTACCACCCCACCCTCACCCACCAGGAAACCTTCAAGTACCTTCGGTGCCGGAGTCATCAAGGCTGTCAACCTCGCAGAGTCTTTTTTCGTCTTCATCCGCCACTTCAATGATTAGAGAGTACCGTGCCAGTACTATAGTACAAGTACTTGAATGCGGCCGGGCCGGGCCGGGCCGCGGCCTGACTCGGACTCAGTTGAACCGGAACGCCGGGGGCCGGCGGCACTGTGCCAGTGACGAGTCAGCACCGTGAGTCAGGCCCTAGCGGCTCCCGGCGAGGAGTCCCCGGCGCCGCGGCGCATCCGATCACTGCGACGGTCAGTGACGGTGAGAACATAGCGTTGCTTTTCCGGCCGGGTGCTCATAGGAAAAATTGGCAAGATTTTTTTTTTTCGAAGGGCCTGTGGGGTCCCTTCATTTCATGCCATGTGGGAGTACCCTACTTTGAGAAGGCGTGTAGGAGGGTACTCGCTCTTAGGAAAATCGTTGCTGCGCAGGGCCAAAGAGGGGTAGGGTGATTTGAATTTGGTTGCTTGGACACCTCACCACGCCAAACCAAAGTAAAAGTACGAATTTTAGAAGTATCTGTGGTACCAACTTAATATTGCAGCGTTTATATGGTACAAAACGAGGGCCAAACTGGTCGGAACTTCGACTTCCAAGAACCCCTCCGTTTGACTTTCGTTGGGGGGTGGGGTGGGTATGGAGCACCCTCAACTACCCACCTTCGAACCAGTTTGAAACTCTGTGATAGGGGGTGGGGGGTAGCCCCCATTTCTCATTCCCCAAGCCCCCTCTCCCTGGACGAGCAAGAGGCGATGAAATGGTGCATTCCTGACTCGCGAGGATGAACCTTGATATTGAGAGACTTCGAATCCAACCCAACTGAGATAGGAATGAGATGAAGATCTCATATCATACCTGTAAGAGATGATCGAGCTTCTTTCTCAACTCTGCAGGTTGGGCCAAGGTTTGAATCATCCATCGTGTACTGGAATATGCACCCTAGGTACAAACAATCCGCGTGTGTACTTGAAAATATTCTTCGAAGACAAGATGAAATTTTCATGAACAGCTAAGCAACTAATGATAGATTCACCATTGAACAGAATCAACTCTGATTGACCCTCCTTTCAAATTGCCGTAGGTTGAACGTTGAGCTCAAATGCATGATTTGTGAGAAATTTGTATATCAAACTGTACCTTAAGCGACTTTGCTGTCTAGATATGTGTTCTCATGTCATCACTCACTTTGAATTCTTCTAGTCTTACGGTCAGGATTCATGCACCTCACTTTTCTATAGAGAAAGCTTTACATGCTCAACCGTTCAATGATGCATGAAGAGACGTTTGCACAAAGGATTTCTTTACCTGCCAGGATAGATGACTTTGAATCATCGTTGTTGATCATGAATCACTATACCCATGATCAAGTGCATTGACAATTGCATTTCCATGTTTCATGACGTTGGATGATTTTTCTGCACTGCAACTAAGTTCTTCCTCTGTCATGACATTTCCACAACGCTGCAGAAACCTAGTTAGAAATGAAACAATGTGCAGATGAATCTGATATCAATAAATGAGATGTTCTTCGAATCAATCCTGCCTTGTTTGGACAGTTCGCAATGCTACCATGCAACAGTAGTGTTCTTGTCGCATTTGGCTCTACAGAGGGGTGCCTTGTTCAACAGAGCAAGCACTCGATGATTGTACACGAACGACAAACACTGTGAATCAATAAACAGAATTCCACATTCAGGTGATCATATCTTTATTACAAGCGTTTCAATCTGGGTAAAAGCACAACCGACCTCCTTGTAATCCTGACGACGTTCCATCTTTTGCCTGGCGAAGTTACTTCTGTGTTAACCAAGAAGCATGTGACATGTAGCCACATCATAAATGCTGTACGGCCTGGAATATCAGCATCTTCAAAGTGCTCGTGTTTGCTGTGACCGTATCATCTGCTTGGCAGCGGCTCATTGATGGACACACGATCTGATGCAAGTTCACACCAGTAATATTTAGATGATGCATCATGTGATCAAATGGCATAGACCTTGGTGATTTGCAACATGTTTCATCGTTCCAACACATCCTTGAAAACCGGATGAAGAATCCTTCACGAACCACTGGACTTGCTTGTTATCATTCGATAGTGCTGTGGATCATCGTGGTTTCAAGCAATCGAGCAGCCCACTGCTAAAATGCACTGTATGTCTTGCGAGCCTATCAGCCATCATCGTGAAAACATATGTTCTTGAGCTCACTGGTGACTGTACGGCTTTTGAACAATCCAGTCACCGTCGGATGATGATTCCCTGTCGTCTTGTGTGTAATCTCCATCCATCTACTCCAACTCAGTTTCCCTGTCATGCATCGCAGATAGCTTAGGGTATTTCACAACCCGGTTTCGATTGCAACGTATCCCTGTGATGGTGATTTTCACTTGTATTATTGATGCTCTTCGCTCACCAAACGATTTTTCGTGAGATCCACGCACTGTACGAAGCACTCCTCAAGGATCATCATCTCTACACCTCAGGAATTTCCCATGAGGAGGTTCGGTGAACATCTGATGTCTGCACACGCTGCCGCGGGCTCGCTGTTTGCGAGCCATGGTTAGGGCAGTACAGAGCGGTGCGACGTGCCCCGAACAAGGGGAGGCTCATGGCGTGTAGAGAGGTCGTTCAAACTTGTTGATAAAATTGTACCATAAGAAGGCTCTACAAATTAGTTAGTCGACTACCCCATGATCTCAGTGCAACTTCTGGGGTGCAGCCCTACTTCTCTGTTTATACTCAACCATTCCACAATACAGTTTAAAATATCTTATTGGAAAACAACATCAGAGTTATAAACCTGAAATTTGGACCCTGTTTGAAATCCTCAAACACGCCACCCCCCAATCCACATAGAAAGCAGAACAAACCCCTCACGGGAAAACCGTCATACAGCCCAAAGCAGACAAAGCAAAATGTCAACGCTATGATCAGTGGCGAATCGCCCGGGGGATCGGCGGCGGACGGGCACTGGCTGCCGCGACTGAGCCGCTGAGTGCCCGGCCTCGTCACTAACGCCCGCCGGTCACCCCCCCCCGGGCGGCGGGCCGGCCAGTCCGAGTACAGTGCGGTGGCACTCCAGCCTCCGCGGCCGCCCGCCGGGCGCGCTTAACGTGACACTTCAAGTGAACTGTGATGACTCACGGTGGCAGCCCGGCCGGCCCGGCGGCGCGCATCATGACGGCGGGCCGGATCGGACCCCGGCCCGGTCACCGGGTCTACCGTACTCCGTAAGGCAAGCTGACTCAGACATCATGGCGGCAGTCCGAGCCTGGCAGTGCCACACGGTGGCCCGCCCCGGACGTGACCCGGCCCGGGCGGGGCCCCCGGCGCCGCCAACCCGGCGCCCTGTCAACGGTCTTTGAAACCGTCAGACAGGAGTGATGACTCACCGTGGTGCCAGTCCCACAGAGGGTACTTGTCGAGAATGTGGGGTAGTCTGAGTTTGTAGGGTAGTACCATAGAGGAAACACATGGTACTTTACTGCATTTAGGATGGTAGGGGTACTCACATTGTTAAATTACGTAGGGGGGTGGATATCGTTGCTGGTGCCGACATTTTTAAAATTAATATAAAGACAAAACTAATAATACAGAGGATTTGTCATAGAGGCATTACCCTACCCATCCTTTCCCCAGTGGCTTACCCTTGTCGTTATGGGTGGGTACAGAAGGACGGGTGTATTCCCCCCGAACCTCAATTTGTCCTCTACCAGGGGGTAGTCCCTAGTCGAGAGAAGGGTCAGGTACTAGTGGTGGTGGGAATTTACATGATTAGATGGTAGGTGGTACAAGTCCAATGGGGGGTGGGGTACATATTACATGGCTTGTTCTGCAGGACAACAGTGGGTGGTAATTAGAGGGGTACTTTTTGAGAATATATCGGGGGAGCTGAATGCAAGGGGTGGGTAGGGAAGTCGGTATGGTGGTAGGGTGTACGGACTATGAAGGGGTGGGGTACTGCAGGTCGAGGCGGAGGGTCGTCGAGGAGCTGTTGCGGTGGAAGGCAGCAATGGCGGGTCAGAGAGAGGGAGGAGGAGGGGAGAGAGAAACAGAGGCCAGAGGACAGAGGCGCCTATGATCGCCATCGGCAATCTATCTTGAGTCGTAGACTGGAAGCTAGCGCTTCAGACATACAGAAAGAGTTGATGGTTCAAGGACCTTGTGAAGTCGGCGAGGTCAGCTCAGAGCGTACTTGATGGAATGGTTGGTTGAGCGTGGAAAATGCATTAAACACGAAGAGCTGCGTAGAAGTAAGAAATCTACTCTGATCAAAATGGACAGTGTCTATAGAGGGATGTTGCTCACATTCACTGGAAGTTGCGAAAGTAGTGCAGACAAGGCTGCTGTTTGAAGGAAGCAAATACTCAGTCTCCAGAGTGAAAATAAGAAACGATTAGAGCTATCAACGATTTCTTGTGTCGAGTAGATGCACTTTCAAGTTGCAGATGGAAATCTTTTTTGTGAATGCTACACTTATACTCATTCCACTGAAGAGGGTATCAGTTTCAGAATTTGGCTTGAACAGGAACCGGAAAGTGCTGAAATTTCTTGTCAAATATGTTTTCTTTGCACAATAGAATATTCATTGTTTTGGTCTCCGTCTTATGTCTGCTCTGAATTACACCTTCAGAGCGATAAAGCTCGTTTTCTGTCTAAAAGTTTACTTACTAATAGCTACTGAGCAGATGCGGTCGATCAAGTGCGTTGTTGTTGGCGATGGTGCTGTGGGAAAGACGTGCATGCTTATCAGCTGTAATTTTTTACTTGTGCCTATCATAGGAACTCTAACAGATCAACAGATACAACCAACTCCTTTCCTCAGGATTACATCCCCACCGTTTTCGATAATTACAGTGCAAATGTAATGGTTGAAGAAAAACCTGTGACGTTGGGATTATGGGATACAGCAGGTCTGATCCCTTGTGTTCAAGACCGATTGTTTGCTAACAGATGTATACTTGTAGGACAAGAAGACTACGACAGGTTGAGACCCCTCAGCTACCCCCAGACGGACGTGTTCCTTGTTTGCTTTTCTGTCGTCAATCCAACTTCGCTAGAGAACGTGGAACATAAGTGGTATAAGGAGTTGCAACATCATGCGCCGGGTGTTCCAATCATCCTAGTTGGAACCAAGATTGATTTGCGCAACGAGCCCCAGATAATTAAGAAATTGGAAGAAGAGAAGCAGAGGCCAGTCACAGAGGAGCAGGGGAAAGCCATGGCGAACAAGGTCAAGGCGGTGAAGTACCTGGAATGCTCTGCATTGACTCAGCATGGTTTGAAGAGAGTTTTCGATGAGGCCATCAAGTGCGCGCTGAAGCCGCCAAAGCCTGAACCCAAGAAGAAAGGGGGCTGCACCATCTTGTAAACTTGTCAGGGTCGTTGGTTGGGGTTTGTCTGTGCGCTTTCTCTTGCTCTCAAGCTCAGATGGGTAAATTTCAAAGCAATGCCACAGGAAAGGATGATGATAAACTTGGTGGAGGCCTCGTCTCTGCTGTGTTAGAATCATGAGTCTTCTGTGTAGATCTTATTTTTGTCATGCGGCCTGCTATATTGGGTCGGCACTGACCTCTATTTGTGTCAACGCGTGAATGAAATAACCGTGTATCTGTGTTTTCGTTGCTTAGAATTCAAATCCGTCATGGTTCTACTACCGCTGAGTTCCGTGTTCCGACGAGGCCGGGCGGCAACTCAATTCCGTTGCAAGCAGTGCCAAACTTCGCGCCCGCACCCGGCGGTGACCGTGACTGCGTAAAGGCTCCGTGTCAGCCGGGGTGGCCTGGCCGGCCTGATGAGCAGTGTGCCGGGCCCGGTGGCTGGGCCCGGTGGCCACTTGTCTGGAGTCCGGGCTCATCGCTACTGAAGCTAGTAGCCTTCAGTGTGGCATGCCACGGCCCGCGATGGGCCGGCTCTCTGGCTCCCGGAGCCTCGTCGGAGGCTCCGACTAGTGACTGATGAGTTGACCTCCGAGTTGAGTTCGGAAGTTCAGTTAACATGTTTCTGGTTAATTTAAGAGACTTATGGGTTAAATTAAGTAGTTTGAGCTTGTTTCCCATCAAGAAGGATTGCGGATCATGGCGAGGCAGGGCAGCAGGTGAGAATGCAGGAGAAGATGCAAGAGGAAGAGCGAGGTGAGGAGATGGGAGAGTGGGAAGAAGGGGAGGGAGGAGGGAGGAGGGGAGGAGGGAGGAGGGAGGAGGGAGGAGGGAGGAGGGAGGAGGGAGGAGGGAGGAGGGAGGAGGGAGGAGGGAGGGAGAGAACGAGAAGGAGGATCATGGCAAACACGGTGTGTGTGGGAGTGTATGTGTATGAGAGAGAGAGATCAAGACCAGGGAAGCAAACAGGAGAGGGAGGGGAAGGGGCAGAGAGACTGGAATCGGAAGTGGGTAAAGGGAAAGAGATCGAGGGCTGCATTTCCGAATCTGCTGAAAGTATCAGACAATTTGAACAAAGAAAATCTGTGTGAGAGCTCACAAATTTTCGCATCCTCACAAGTGTCATCGCATGTAAAAGCAATCATCATCACCTTCTTTGTTATCCCTTTTCTTTTCACGGTCCCGGAAGGACGAGCATGGAACTTACCTGCTACCTCCATGAGCAGGCTGGACAGAACAGACTTGATCTGGTCTCTCTCCGTGACCTGCGCTTGTTTCGCCATCTATGTGTCCACCATGTATCGAACGGTGGGAGGAGGTGATAGCGGGGACTTGGTACAGTGACGTCATGGGTGGTATGAAGATGGATGAAAGGACCTTGCAGGTTGCTACTTGTTGCAATCTTGGAGTTGCTCACCCTCCTGGCTACCCCCTGCACACCATTGTGAGGGTCTTATGCGCCTTAAGTCTTTGCTGATCTCTTCATGATAGTTGGGAGCGATCTTCGTACGCGCCATCCCCTATGGTAGCTTCGATGAAGATGACTAGGAGAAGATTTGAAGTTGATGATGAGGGAGAGGGAGAGAGAGGGAGAGGGGGAGGGAGGGGAAGGGGGAGGGAGGGGAAGGGGGAGGGAGGGGAAGGGGCTGGAGGATGGTGTTGATGATGATGATGATGATGATGATGATGATGTTGATGTTGATGATGATGATGATGTTGATGTTGATGTTGATGATGATGATGATGATGATGATGATGATGATGTTGATGTTGAGGAGGAGAGGGGATGGATTGAAGGGGTTCAACTCTCATGTTTGCGACCCAGGGTCGCCAGCCTTCCGTGTCAACTTGCTGTCAGCTCTGTCAGCCTCGATCGCCGCTGGTTTCTTTTCAGCGTGTCAAACGTAACGATGACATGTTGTTGAATCCCTTGACAAACTTGTGCTGCTCAGCTCCTCCTGCGAACTAAGATCGTTCAGTCAAGCGCAAGCAAGCATGGCGATGACGAGCTCGATTGTTCGAGGTACTGAGCTCTTGTTTTCTCCCACCTTGTTGATGCGAGGCGAAGGTTTGTTTCAGCATGGAGCGCTTTCTCTTTTGCCTTTTCGCCTCTCGTCTGGACATACGCAACACATGCTGAAGTGTTTGCGATGAACAACATGTTTGTCGCCGTTCTGCTCTTCCTTCACCTCAGGTGCTGTTTCCCACTGAACCTCTCTCATGGCTTGACGGACTTGATAGATTTGCTCTCACAAAAGATCCCAAGGGTAAGAAGTTGATGATTGAGTGTGGAAATCGAGGACAGAGCATGACGGCGATCATATCAGATGCTCAGACAGCAGCAATGGTCATCGGACTTGGTCTCAGCAACCAGCACACCATCATGTTCTATGCTCTTCCCATCGTATCCATGAACATCAAGAAGGCAACTCCCCTCTTCTGCTCCTGCTCCTGCTCCTGCTCCTGCCCCTGCTCCTGCTCCTGCTCCTGCTCCCCTCATCCTCGTTCTTGCTCTGCTCTCCCCACGCATCCTCGCCTTCAGCATTCCCTTCCCTGAGAACAGTATGCAGGAGCCTGGCCTCTTACTCCGTCCTCGCCTCTTCCTCTCCCTCTGCTTCTGGGGACTCGTTGGTTTGCTTCCCTATGCGTACCTAGTGGTCGCCGCAGCACACCCTCCTCTTGGTGAGCAAGTGGGAGGGGAGGAGAGACACGAGGCGAGAAGAGTGGGGGATGGAGGGAGAGGAGGGAGAGGAGGCAGGGAAGGTTGACGGTGGCAGAGGAAGAAGTGGAGGAAGCTCTGAGGGCTGACTATCAGTGCAGGATCGTGGGGAGCGACAGATAGCATGGAAGGGTTGATCAGACACGTGCTTCGATCAGAATATGGTGATGTGATGTTGTTTCACGCTCATAACTTCGCAACACGTTCATAACATGTCTTGCTCTCAGGAACTTTTCGGTTGTACTCTGGTGATGATCAGCAGGTTGAAGAGACTGGAAGATGATGGGAGGAAATGAGATGAAGGGCAGGTACAAACCAACCTTACAAACTTCCTCGTCAAGTTTGGTTGGGAGCTCCTGCAACAAACGCACTACGTTGGCGTCTTGCTCGCAGTCGTCGGATTCTTCTACCTCTTCACAGGTCACACGAGGGGCAAGAGGAACATCTGTTAATGATGACAGCAGGTGGCAAGAAGAACGTGAGAGACAAGGACAAGACAGATTCAGCTGCGAGGTGTGAGCATGTTGTTGCTAAGGAGCTGTTGTACCTCCTCTCCTTCTACCTCCTTGTCTTCGGCTCCCTCTCAAACCTCCCGGACAAGAGCCAGGTGAGTGCTGGTAAGTCCGCCGGGCACTGAAGATTGTGCCAGATGCACCTCGGGGTTCTTAAGAGGTTTTGGATGCAAGCCAACTTGGTCGTGTCGGTCTTCATCGGTGACGATTCTTGTTCCCTCAACGCTGTTGAGATGTTGTTACTTTGTCATGAGGTGTGATACTTGTGATGCTTGTGTGTTATGATGACTTGAAATTTCGATTGTTCTGCTCTCTTCATCTCTCCACCTTGTCTTCCCTCCGCCCCTCTTGTCATAACTCACTTGACATCTCAGCCAAGTTCCTGTTTCTTCTTTCTCCTCCTCCTCTTCTCTCATTTTCTCCCAGTCAATCTCATTTCACGTCGGCCAGGTGTGGGAGTCTGTGCCGTCATGAAACGAATCGACCAGTGGAGATCCAAGTTCGTCGCTCCTCTCGTCATCGCTGCCGCTGCTGTGCAGGTCAACACAGAGTCTCCTCCTCCTCCCCGTTTTTCTCCCGTCGTCGTCCTCGTCCTCGTCCTCGTCCTCGTCCTCCTCCTCCTCCTCGTCGTCATTCTCGTCGTCATTCTCCTCCTCGTCGTCATCCTCGTCCTCGTCCTCGTCCTCGTCCTCGTCCTCGTCCTCTTCCTCGTCCA